TCACTGTAACCTCTGCCTCCTGGGTTCAAGTGATTCTCTTGCCTTTGCCTCCCAAGTAGCTGGGATTACAGGCACTCGCCACCACACCTGGCTAATTTTGTATTTTTAGGAGAGATAGGGTTTCTCCAAATTGGTCAGGCTGGTCTTGAACTCCTGACATCAGGTGATCTGCCCGCCTTGGCCTCCCAAAGTGCTGGGATTATAGGCTTGAGCCACCTCACCCGGTGATTTTTATTTTTATTTTTATTTTTATTTTATTTTATTTTATTTTTTTGAGACGGAGTTTCGCTCTTGTTACCCAGGCTGGAGTGCAATGGCACGCTCTCGGCTCACCGCAACCTCCGCCTCCTGGGTTCAGGCAATTCTCCTGCCTCAGCCTCCTGAGTAGCTAGGATTACACGCACATGCCACCATGCCCAGCTGATTTTTTGTATTTTTAGTAGAGACGGGGTTTCACCATGTCGACCAGGATGGTCTCGAACTCTCGACCTCGTGATCCACCCGCCTCGGCCTCCCAAAGTGCTGGGATTACAGGCTTGAGCCACCGCGACCGGCTATTTTTATTTTTTGAGACAGAGTCTCACTCTGTTGCCCAGGCTGGAATGCAGTGGCATGATCTCGCCTCACTGCAACCTCTGCCTCCTGGGTTCAAGCGATTCTCATGCCTCAGCCTCCCAAGTAGCTGGGATTACAGGCATGTGCCACTATGCCTGGCTAATTTTTGTATTTTTAGTAGTGTTGGGGTTTCACCATGTTGGCCTGGCTGGTCTCGAACTCCTGACCTCAGGTCATCTTCCTGCCTCGGCCTCCCAAAAGTGCTAGGATTACAGGCGTGAACCACCGCACTGCACCTGGCTTGGGTAAATATTTTGTAACCTGGGATCTTGCTGACCTCATTAGCTCTTAGCATGTTTTTGTAGATGCCATTGGATTTTTCTGTATATAGGATCATAAGATACTGAGCTCACAAGATCATGAGAGAGAATTTTACTGCTTCCTTTCCAATCCAGATGCCGTATTATCTTGCCAGTTTCTCTGGCTACAATCTTCAGTAAAATAGACTATGGTATTTATTAATGTTTTTATGTTGAGCCACTCTTGCATTCTAGGGAAAATCCCTCTTGGTCATGGTGTATAATCCTAATTATATGTAGATAGATTTGCTTTGGTAGTTTTTAGGGCTTTGTATTTATATTCTTTTTTTTTTTTTTTTTTTTTTTTTTTTTGAGACGGAGTTCCGCTCTTGTTACCCAGGCTGGAGTGCAATGGCGCAATCTCGGCTCACCGCAACCTCCGCCTCCTGGGCTCAGGCAGTTCTCCTGCCTCAGCCTCCTGAGTAGCTGGGATTACAGGCACGCGCCACCATGCCCAGCTAGTTTTTTTGTATCTTTAGTAGAGACGGGGTTTCACATGTTGACCAGGATGGTCTCGATCTCTCGACCTCGTGATCCACCCGCCTCGGCCTCCCAAAGTGCTGGGATTACAGGCTTGAGCCACCGTGCCCGGCCTGTATTTATATTCTTATGGGATAGAGTGTCATTTTCATTTTGAGACAAGGTCTTACTCTTGTCACCCAGGCTAGAGTGCAGTGGAGTGAACACAGCTCACTGCAGCCTCGACCTCCCAGGCTCAAACAATCCTTCAAGTATTTGGGACCACAGGTGCATACCACCATGCCTGGCTAATTTTCTTATTTTTTGTAGAGTTGGGGTCTTAACCATCCTGCTCAAGCTGGTCTTGAACTCTTGGGCTCAAGCAGTTCCCCCACTTTGGCCTCCTAAAGCGTTGAGATTACTTGGAATTATGGGTGTGAGCCATCACACCTGGCTTGTCATTTTTTTTTTTTTCTTGTATGTATCCGTTGGTTTTGATATCAGAGTAATAATAGCCTGCCTTCTAAATGAGTAAGTGTTCCCTCTATTTTTGGGTGGAGAGGAATGAGGATTCTTTTAACATTGGATTGGTAGACTTCACCTTGAAGCCATGTGGTACTAGGCCTTTCCCTGTGAGACATTTTTGATTACTGATTCAATTTATAGGCCTGTTCAGATTTTGTTTCTTGAATCCGTTTTTGGTAGTTTGTGTCCTTCTAGGAATTTGTTTATTTAATCAAGGTAATCTAATTTATTGTCATGTAATTGTTTATACTATTCTCTTATAATCTTTTGTATGTGTCAAGTTAGTAGTAGTCTGTTCTTTGATTTCTGCTTGCAGTAATTTGAGTCTTCTCTTTTTTTTTCCCGCTTGGTTGATCTAGCTAAAGATTGGCCATTTTTGTTCGTATTTTCAAAGAACTGACTTTTGGTTTAGTTGATAATCTCTCTCTCTCTCTCTCTCTTTTTTTTTTTGAGATGGAGTGTCGCTCTTTTCGTTCAGGCTGGAGTGCGGTGGCTCCATCTTGGCTCACTGCAGCCTCTGCCTCCCAGGTTCAAGCGATTCTCCTGTGTCAGCCTCCTGAGTAGCTGGGACTACAGACATGTGCCATCACCCCCGGCTAGTTTTTCTATTTTTGATAGATACAGGGTTTCACCATGTTGGCCAGACTGGTGTCAAACTCTGACCTCAAGTGATCCACCGCCTCAGCTTCCCAAGGTGCTAGGATTACAGGCATGAGCCACTGAATCCTGGTCCCTATTGCATTTATTTCCACTCTAGTTTTTATTATTTTCTTCTTTCTGTTAACTTTGGGTTAGGATGTGTGTATGCGTGTGTTTTCAGGTAGAAACATCAGTATGCTGCTCAACTTTTCAGCTTTGCCAGACGTGACCCCGTCAGAAGTCGAGGTGCATCTGTATTCAGCTAAAGGTCACCAGATTTGGCTGAGTGTGGCCTTTTCTGAGCTACCTGCTGCTCACTGCTGATCTCATCCGTTTAAATTGCTGGAATTCTAATTTATCAAATATTCTTTTTTCTGAACATTTTGGCATTTCGTTTTTTTTCATGCAGATTTCTCATTGTACATTCTTAAAAATGAACATTTGCAGACATTATTTTTTCCTTAGAAAAAGCTTCTTAAAATGGTAATGTCACAAAAATCTTTTAAAAAATTAGGCCCTTGGCCGGGCGCAGTGGCTCAAGCCTGTAATCCCAGCACTTTGGGAGGCTGAGGCGGGTGGATCACGAGGTCAAGAGATCGAGACCATCCTGGTCAACATGGTGAAACCCTGTCTCTACTAAAAATACAAAAAACTAGGTGGGCGTGGTGGCGCGTGCCTGTAATCCCAGCTACTCAGGAGGCTGAGGCAGGAGAATTGCCTGAACCCAGGAGGCGGAGGTTGCGGTGAGCCGAGATCGCGCCATTGCACTCCAGCCTGGGTAACAAGAGCGAAACTCCATCTCAAAAAAAAAAAAAAAAAAAATTAGGCCCTTGCATATATATTGTTAAATTAGTCTAGAAGAATATTTTAAAATCAGAGATAGAAGCTGAAGACACCTCTGATAAAGTAGGTTAAGATCACATAGTGAAGAAATGATTGCTGTGCTCTGTATTTGAATATTATCATGTAGCCCATAAGAACTCAAAGAAAAATCAAATGACAAATACTATCATTTTAGGAATGTTAGTCTAAGCAAATACAGTTCTAACTCTCATGCAAGCTAAAAATTATAATGAAAAGCTCGATTTTTCAGCCGGGTGCGGTGACTCACGCCTGTAATCCCAGCTACTTGGGAGGCTAAGGCAGGAGAATTGCTTGAACCTGGGAGGCAGAGTTTGCAGTGAGCCGAGATCACATGATTGCCCTCCAGCCTGGGCAACAAAGCAAGACTCTATCTCAAAAAAAAGAAACAAAGAAAAAAGGAAAGCTTGATTTTTCATAGTATGAATTTACAAAGAGTTCCCAGCTTATTATGGCTAAATTTATGATTTTTTCACTTTGTGATGGATTTATAATGATGTAAACCCTCCTAAGTTGAGAAGCATCTATATATCAAAAAAATACTTTACAACAGGGGTCAGTAATTGTGTTCTGTAAAGGACCAAAAAAGTCAACATTTTAGGCTTTGCCAGCCAGAAGATCTCTGTTGCAACCATTCAGTTCAGCCACCCAGGATGAAAATGAATCATGGATAACATGTAAACAAATGGATGTGGTTCATTTTGGTTCCATGTGAATTTTAAAACATTATTTTTTAATTTCTTGAAGAATGTCATTGGCAGTTTCAAAGAAATAGCTGATTTTTGTATTTTTAGTAGAGCTAGGGTTTCACTATGTTGGCCAGGATGGTCTTGAACTCCTGACCTCGTCATCTGCCTGCCTTGGCCTCCCAAAGTGCTGGGATTACAGGTGTGAGCCACTGTGCCCAGCCAAGGCTTTTTTTTTTTTTTAATGTAACATATGAATTATATTATTTGTCTTGCCTACTTTATAAACACATTGTATAAAGAGATTTTAAAAATATGTCTCTACTTTGGAAATTTTGAAGCCCTGTGGAAATATGTGAAGGAGCACACATTACTGTTCAGAAATCTGAGAAATCATCTTTATTCCTACGTAAAACTTAACTGTTGGGTTGTTTTTAGATTCATGGTGTTGTTTTAATAGTATTGAGGACCCACTTTTTTTTTTTTTTTTTTTTTTTTTTTGAGACTGAGTCTCAACGCCAGGCTGGAGTGCAGTGGCGTGATCTCGGCTCACTGCAACCTCCGCCTCCCGGGTTCAAGCAGTTCTCCTACCTCAGCCTCCTGAGTAGCTGGGACTACAGGCATGCACCACCACGCCCAGCTAATTTTTATATTTTTAGTAGAGACGGGGTTTCACCATGTTGGCCAGGACGGTCTTGATCTCTTGACCTCATGATCTGCCTACCTTGACCTCCCAAAGTGCTGGGATTACAGGCGTGAGCCAGAGGACCCACATTTTAAAGATATTTTTATCTTCAAGTTTTTTAAAGTATTATTTACCTTCATCTTCACAGGTTTTTAAAGTACTATTCTACTACTAACTTACTGGGGTTTAAAACAGGATATAATAGCATTATTCAAATGATTTTTCCACTAGGCACGGATGGGCAGAAGCCTTTGCAGGTATCAGAAGTTCACATATCAAATATATCTGCCCGCATGCGTGAGTATTTCTGATCTTCAGGCTTGTGATTCAGAGTCTGGAGAGGAGCAATTGTCATTGTTTTACCTTTCCAGAAAAGTATTTAAATATAATTAATTTTTATTATTTAAATATTCAGTTTAAAAATGAAGATTAGTAGAATTCCTTAAAACTTTATAAAATGATTTCTTAAATTGATTTTTTTTTTTCATTTTCTCTTTTGTTAAGCAATTTAAAGTATTTCTCTCTTTAAGGCCAGAAAAATTATTATTTTTATTTACTTATTTTTGAGACAGAGTCTTGCTCTGTCACCCAGGCTGGAGTGCAGTGTTGCAATCTTGGCTCACTGCAACCTCCACCTCCTGGGTTCTAGCGAGTCTCCTGCCTCAGCCTCCTGAGTAGCTAGGATTACAGGTATGTGCCACCATGCCCAGCTAATTTTTGTATTTTTAGTAGAGACAGGATTTCACCATGTTGGCCAGGCTAGTCTCAAATGCCTGACCTCAAGTGATCCACCTGCCTTGGCCTCCCAGAAAAATTATTTTAGATATACAAATACCTATAAAGTTCTAGGATATCACCAGGATATCTCTGAAGGGGAATTACCTGTTAGATTTGTAAGAAATCTTTATTATGTTGAAACCACTCTTTAATTTTATCATTTAGAGGCAACGTGTTGTACTGTGGAAAGAGCACAGACTTTGGAATATGATAGGTTTGGTTTTGAATTCTGGCTCTGAAAGTATTTGTGGATGTCAAAAAGAAATTAGTAAGTTTTGAACAAACTTAGAAAATCAATAAGATTGGCACGTTAGGTCAAGCTTGTGCAATCTGTGGCCCAGGTCATCTGTGAATGCAGCCCAGTACAAACCTAAGCTTTCTGAAAACATTATGAGATTTTTTTTTTTTTGCTATTTTTAGATATTATTTTATTTTGATTTTAGCTCATCAGCTCTTGTTAGTGTTAATGTATTTTTATATGTGACCCAAGACAATTTTTCTTCCAATGTAGCCCAGGGAAACCAAATGATTGGACACCCTTGTTTTAGATCAAAAGGTTGCTGATAAGCAATAGCCCTGGAGAAGACCAGAAGGGATTGGACATACTCATATAAGTTAGTAATTCATCCTCAGAAGTGTTAGTAGCAGTAGAGTTGGGACAGACACATGAACATGAAAAAAGGGAATGAGAAGAAGAACAGCTGAGAAGAGGATAAGAAAACATTTCTTCCTTTTTTAATCCTGAAATAGAGGGTCTGTCTTACCTCTGTAGGCTACAGTGAATACTGTGGCTAGGGTTGCTATGTCCTGTATTATTCTGCTGAAGCCAGAGACAGAATTCTTTTTTTTTTTTTTTTAAGAAGGAGTCCTGCTCTGTTACCCAGGCTGGAGTGCGGTGGCATGATCTCGAATCACTGCAACCTCTGCCTCCCAAGTTCAAACGATTCTTCTGCCTCAGGCTCCTGAGTAGCTGGGACTACAGGCACGTGCCACCACGCCTGGCAGAGTTTTGTATTTTTCACCATATTGACCAAGCTGGGCTCCAACTCCTGACCTCATGATCTGCCCGCCGTGGCCTCCCAAAGTGCCGGGATTACAGGTGTGAGCCACTGCACCTGGCCCATCATAGATTTGAATTGGCTCTAACGGACAGTTAGGCAAATTTTGGATTTCCCCCATTTATTTAGAGGTCTCTTAATTAGGCGGGTACCCAGCTAAGAACTAGAAAATTAGCAAAAGTGTAACCTGAGCATAGGCATTGAGGTTACAGTGTCGGTGTAATAAATGGCTCATTGTCCTGAGTCCCATACCAGAATCTCATAGTTTATACATTTCCAGCTGTCTTGGTTTCCAGTTTCTCTTCTCATGTCTGAGACGTTAAAAGTAGTAAGGACGAGTGTGGGAAGGGAGAAGGTATTTGTCAAGCTTAGTCCTTTGTCCCTGTTGCTCTGTCTTCAGAACACATTTGGAGGGGTGTGGAGAGCAGACTTGGACAGGTGTGGATGAAGTACACAGTTCATATATTAAAACTGTAGCATGTAGTATTGTGTAGGTCTCAAGTAATTACCTGTTTTAGATTAGTGGGATTTCTCAGTTTGTATGCTTTGTTATTCTTTGCTGTTTTTTCTGTTCCTTGTAGGCCTGTTATGCCTGTTACACTAAATATGAACATGGCTATGCCTTCATGGTAAGTGAGAATTTAATTATTCAATAAGAACATTATATTGCTTATTTTATGTAATGTTATAAGAAACACTTTTGTGTACAGCAGTTTTTATTTAGCTGTTTTTTAACTTGCAAAGTTGCATAGTTAACCTTTACTTATTTACATTTTTTGTGCTCTAGATTTAGGGCTAAACTTAAAGAGCTGTACAAACAGGTAGAGAAATAGGCGAGAAGGTATGAATAAAAATCATGTGGGAGGCTCTGTTCTGCTGCTTGATAAACCTTTGTTGATTTTAGTAACCCAACATTCAGATGACCCCTATGAAGCCACAGCCTCTTCACCTTTCCAATTTCTTGTCTCTCTGGGTTGTTTTTAAGGAAACCACTTCCCTTTCAGCCCTCTGAAGATATTCTCACGGTCCCCGTGTAGGGTCAGTTTTTGTTCCTGTGTGCTACTTCCAGACTTTGATTTTTCATGACTGTTCTCTGAGATTCCTACCATCAGGTTGGGAGGCTGAGTCCGAAGAATCACTTGAACCCAGGAGGCGGAGGTTGCAGTGAGCCGAGATTGCGCCAGTGCACTCCAGCCTGGTGACAGAGCAAGACTCCGTCTCAAAAAAAAAAAAAAAAATGATGACTTTAGGGCTGGGATTACACAACTGTAATCCCAGCACTTTGGGAGGTTGGGGCAGGTGGATCACAAGGTCAAGAGATCAAGATCATATTGGCCAACATGGTGAAACCTTGTCCTTACTAAAAATACAAAAATTAGCCAGGCGTGGTAGCACATGCCTGTATTCCCAGCTACTCGGGGCTGAGGCAAGAAAATCACTTGAACCCCTGAGGTGGAGGTTGCAGTGAGCCAAGATCACGCTACTGCATCCAGCCTGGCAACAGAGGGAGCCCCGTCTCAAAAAAAAAAAAAAAAAAAAATGTTGACTTTAGCCAGGCGTGGTGGTGCACACCTGTAAACCCAGCACTTTGGGAAGTTGAGGCAGGTGGATCAACTGAGGTCAGGAGTTCGAGACCAGCCTGGCCAGCATAGCGAAACCCCATCTCTACTAAAAATATAAAAATTAGCCAGGCGTGGTGACATGCCCCTGTAGTCTCAGCTGTCCAGGAGACTAAGGCAGGAGAATCGCATGAACCTGGGAGGAGGAGGCTGCAGTGAGCTGAGACCGTACCACTGCACTTCAGCCTGAGCAACAGAGCGAGATTTTGTCTCAAAAAAAAAAAAATATATATATATATATTTCTGATTATCCCTTTAATCCAAGCTACCATGAATGTAGTAAAATATACTTAGTGTAATAATAGATTTTCTTAGAATCAAAAGGTTCTTTTTAGATTTGCCTTATTTTACAGGTTTGATATTATTGGGCTTTCACCAGATTCACAGGAGGATGAACCTGGGATTAAACAGGCTGCAGAAAACAGTAAGTACAGAAAATGTTTATAAAGCCAAAAGCATTCTTAAATGTTTTCAGTAGGTTCAGTAATCACATTGGTACTGGTTAAAAATTACACATTTGGGCCTGGCACAGTGGCTTACGCTTGTAACTCTGTAACTCACGTCTGTAAACTCTATCAGACATATAATAATTTTGCTTTGATTTACATGGGAAAATGGAGAAAACAGCAAAAAGTTTAATAGTTTTTGCCAGTTGTTTTCATTAAGGAGACTTGGAATAACAGTGAAAATAATGATATAATAAGTGTAATGATAATAAACAGTGACTATATGGCTGGATGCAGTGGCTCACGCCTGTAACCCCAGCACTTTGGGAGGCTGAGGTGGATGGATCACCTGAGGTAAAGGGTTAGAGACCAGCCTGGCTAACGTGGTGAAACCCCATCTTTACTAAAAATACAAAAAAATTAGCCAGGCATGGTAGCGGGCACCTGTAATCCTAGCTACTCAGGAGGTTGAGGCAGGAGAATCACTTGAACCTGGGAGGCGGAGGTTGCAGTGAGCCAAGATTGTGCCATTGTACTCCAGCCTGAGGGACACAGGGAGACTCTTATCTCAAAAAAAAAAAAAAAAAAAAAAAGTTATTAATTGTTAATTTTAGTGTGGTAATTATAATAGGTACCACTGATTAAGCACATAACTGTTTTCAAGCTAGGTGTTTCTTACAGAGCACCTCATTTGACACCCCTCTGAAGTATTAGCTCTGCTTTAGAAAACCTCAAAAGCCTTATCTCTGATAAAGAAGTCCATCTCCTTTATGATTATGGTACTTCTGTTTGTTTGTGGGGTGGAGCATAAATAACACTAACTTACTGAGAAGTGTCTACTATTAAGAAATATGCAGGGGACCAGGCGCAGTGGCTCACGCCTGTAATCCTAGCACTTTGGGAAGCCGAGGCGGGAGGATCATCTGAGATTGGGAGTTTGCGACCATCCTGGTCAACATGGTGAAACCCCGTCTCTACTAAAAATACAAAATTAGCTTAGCATGGTGGTGCGTGCCTGTAATCCCAGCTACTCAAGAGGCTGAGGCAGGAGAGTTGCTTGAACCTGGAAGGCAGAGGTTGTGCTGAGCCAAGATTTCACCATTGCACCCCAGCCTGGGCAACAAGGGCAAAACTCCGTCTCAGAAAAAACAAAAAGAAAGAAAAAGAAATGCACAGGAATGTCCTTTTCTTTTATACATATGTACTGAAATAGTTACGAGTAGAATAATATGAGGACTCGGATTGCCTTCAGGGTAATCTGGTTGGTGACTCCTGAGTGTGGGTGAGTGTAGGTGGATGTGGGCAGCAATGGCAAGACAGGGTGACTGAGAATTATTTTGGTTTTTGGTAATTTTTTATTTACATATTTATTTAGAGACACTGTTGCCCAGGTTGGAGTACAGTTGGGGATCATAGCCCACTGTAGCCTCAAATTCCTGGTCTCCAGGAACTCTCCCGCCTCAGCTCCTGAGTAGCTGGGACTACAGGCATGTGCCACCATGCCTGGCTAAGTTTTAAACTGTTTAGTTCACTGTAGGTGTATGGATTTGTTTCTGGGCTCTCTGTTCTGTTCCATTGGTCTGCGTGTGTGTTTTTATGCCAGTACCATGCAGTTTTGATTACTATAGCTCTGTAGTATAATTTGAAGTCAATTAATGTGATTCCTCTAGTTTTATTCCTTTTACTTAGGGTAGCTTTGGCTACTCTGAGTCTTTTGTGATTCCATATAAATTTTAAGATTGTTTTTCTATTTTTGTGAAGAATGTCATTGGTATTTTCGTAGAGATTCCATTGAATCTGTAGATTGCTTTGGGTAGTATGGGAAAAAATTCCATGTTCATGGATTAGAAGAATTCATGAAGAATAGCAGTATTGTTATTGGTTCTTCTATCCATGAACAGGGAATATTTTCTTTTTTTTGGTGTCCTCTTTCATCAGTGTTTTATAGTTTTCATTATAGGGATCTTTCACTTCTTTGTTAATTCCTAGGTATTTACTTTTTTATGTGTGGCTATTGTAAATGGCATTTTTAAAAAATTTTCTTTTCACGTGGTTCACTGTTGGCATATGAAAATACATTCTAATTTTGTGTTTTAATGAAGTGCTTTGAGTTTTTCACTCATTTCCACCTTAAAAGTAATTGTGCTTTTCTATTAATTTTTTCCTGAAGTTTATCAACGGCCTTAACTTTGAAAGTATTGCTGACTAACCTTCATGTTGTTTTTAGTAAAAGCTTTGATTGATCAAGAAGTGAAGAATGGCATTCCTTCAAACAGAATTATTTTGGGAGGGTTTTCTCAGGTAAGATAAAATTTGGGTGGAATGTTAGTACCATCAGTATATTTATCTAGAAGTCTGTGCTTTAATCCTTTCTATGGAGTAGTTTAATTAAGTCTGAATGTACTGGAACTAATTAATTTCTTCTTAAAATAACTATAATACCCATGTAATTAAATTTCTAAGCTAACAGAGTGTATCCTTTTAATTAATTAGAACTCTGATAACACAGGCATGAGTCCCCTCTCTAGGAGAAGACCACTCGTAAGAACAGTAAAGCAGAAGACAAGAGACTTTCTTCCCTTTACCTTCACTACTACAGGTTTAGGTATAAATGTGTGGTGTTTATTTTGGGCATCTTTCTTCTTCTCTGTACTTTGCCCCTGCCTTCTATACTTTCTCCACAGACACTGCTTCCTCATACAGACCTTGCGTGGCTACTGCAGCATGTCAGCTGTTTGCCATGGAACCAGACTCCAGATGCTCTAGCTTCTCATCTCGGTTTCTTTGCTTATCTGCTTTGTTTGCCTTTCCATCAACAGTTGGCCATCTTGGCTTTTGCAGTCTATTGCTTTTCTACCTCTTGAGTTTACATGTTACAGGTCCAGCCACACAGAGTGTGACTGGTGGTCACCGAATCCTATTTCCTCAGTGCTGGGAGAAAACATCACTGCCTGGGATGAAGAAGGCTCTCATGTCCTCATGTGTTGCAGTGACCCAATGGCATAGTCAGAGTGATGGGGGTCTTGGATGGCTGGCAGGAGTATAGCTTCCAGAATGCAGGGTGTTGTGAACTGTGTAGTCAGATAGTCTGCAGGTGTCTGCCAAGTAGTTCTTATTATCTTAAATTCTCATTTAGAAAGTAATACCAATTTAAGGGCTGGACGCAGTAGCTCACGCCTGTAATCCCAGCACTTTGGGAGGCCGAGGCGGGCGGATCACCTCAGATTAGGAGCTGGAGACCAGCCTGATCAACATGAAGAAACCCTGTCTCTACTAAAAATAAAAAATTAGCTGGGCATAGTGCTGCATGCCTGTAATCTCGGCTACCTGGGAGACTGAGGCAGGGGAATCGCTTGAACCCAGAGGTGAAGGTTGCGGTGAACTGAGAATACGCCACGTGCTCCAACCTGGGCAACAAGAGCGAAACTCCGTCAAAAAAAGAAAGAAAGAGAAAGAGAGCAGAGAGAGAAAAAAAGAAAAGAAAGACCATTTTAAGACCAGATGGGATTTTATACTTAAAACTCTGCAAAGGAGAAAATATAAATTCAGAATATTCCTAAGGCATGTTGTGAGTGCAGCAGTTTCCGATGCTACAAACTATGTCTCATTGGAAAGGAAGTCAGTATGTTCTCTGGTGAAGAGAACTGAATCTTTTAGGACATGGTGGGGTGTGTTTCCATTTCCACTGTTTGCCTCATTTGATTTGACATCAGCCACTGAGTTTGATTGTTTTATGGATATCATTAGTAAAAAGAAATCCCCTAAATTGATGCGTTCCATTGACGTTCCCTGCTTGTCTTTTCAGGGAGGAGCTTTATCTTTATATACTGCCCTTACCACGCAGCAGAAGCTGGCGGGTGTCACTGCACTCAGTTGCTGGCTTCCACTTCGGGCATCGTTTCCGCAAGTAAGTTGCTTGATGCACTCAATATGAGATTACTGAGCTAAAGGTAGCTAGCAGATAATGTTGGAGATAAAGTCATCTTATTTTTTTTTATTAATAAACTTTATTTTTTTGAGACAGAGTCTCGCTCTTTGGCCTAGGCTGGAGTACAGTAGCATGATCTCAGCTCACTGCAACCTCTCCCTCCTGGGTTCAAGCGATTCTCCTGCCTTAGTCTCCTGAGTAGCTGGGACTACAGGCGTGTACCACGATGCCTAGGTAATTTTTTTGTATTTTTAGTAGAGACAGGATTTCACCGTGTTAGCCAGGGTGGTCTCCAACTCCTGACCTCAAGATCTGCCTGCCTTGGCCTCCCAAAGTACTGGGATTACAGGCGTGAGCTACTGCCCTGGCCTAATAAACTGTATTTTTTAGAGAAGTTTTAAATTCACAGCAAAACTGAGCAGAAGGTAGAGTGACTGTCTACCTCCTGTCTCCCACGTGCACAGCTTCCCCACCGTCAGCATCCCCGCCTCCACAGTCATGCATTTGCTGCAGTCTGAACCTGCACTGACTCATCACCATCACCCAGAGTCCTTCACTTACAGCACTCATCTTTTGTTAAAAATAATTTTCTTAGACTTTTGTGATGTGTTACTAGGCCTTAGTATGCTATACTGTCTTTATTGTGGAGTACATAGAATGGAATTAGAAAGAAACCTTATTGTCACAAATTGTAGATTTGAAGGATTTGATACATTTTAGGATATATATGAAAATGAGGACGCTAAGCCACAGAAATAATATTTTTTTGTAGTCTAGGCACAGTGTCTCATGCCTGTAATCCCAGCACTTTGGGAGGCCAAGGCAGGCAGATCACCTCAGATCAGGAGTTTGAGACCAGCCTGGTCAACATGGTGAAACCCCATATCTATTAAAAACACAAAAATTAGCTGGGCAGGTGGTGCACATCTCTGATGGGAGCTACTTGGGAGGCTGAGGCACAAAAATCACTTGAACCTAGGAGGCGGGGGTTGCAGTGAGTCACAGTTGTGCCACTTCACTCTAGCCTGGGCGACAGAGCAAGACTCTTATCTTTTTTTTTTTTTTTAAAAAAAAAAAAAAGATAACTGAATAAAACAGCAACTCAAAGTACTAAAACAATCAACCAAACCAAAAACAGCAGAAAATATAATAAGCTTCAAGGAACTCATTCACTGGGAAGACAAATAATATGAAGCAAGGTAATCATAGATCCTATGGAAGTTAAATAAAGGGATGTGATGAGTATATGGAAAGAAGGAATTTTATTCTTTTGGCCAAATATAACTTCTAATATGTTATATATGCATGCATATTTATGTAGAATTTTAGATGCCTGGCATAGTGTCCTGTACCTTTACAAAAATAATACTGTTCCTTCTTTTGCTTTTTGCAGGGGCCTATCAGTGGCGCCAATAGAGAGATTTCTATTCTTCAGTGCCACGGAGATTGTGACCCTTTAGTTCCCCTGATGTTTGGTTCTCTTACGGTTGAAAAACTAAAAACATTGGTGAATCCGGCCAATGTGACCTTTAAAACCTATGAAGGTATGATGCACAGTTCGTGCCAACAGGTAGGTGTCTGGAAGCAGTGATCAGCACCATATTTGCAACTGTTTTCATGTGATATTTTTATGAAAAGTAACATTTGAATGCTTGGGGATTTAAATGGTTAATTTGCATTGGATCATAAGTTAGCAGGTCATTAGATGAGTGTGTATTCAACTTAATTCAACAAATATCTACTGATTGGCTATTACACACAGCCATTGTACATAATTCAAAGATGAATAATAAAATTCTCTTTCATTAAAATTTAATAGAAAGATGCATGTCTAAGTAACTGTATGGATAGCAGAAAGTGACATCCATTGTATTAGAAACTTTAAAAAGTGCCCTTGGAAAATAAACAATAGGAAGTGCCCTGAAAAACTGAGAAAAGATTAATTTTGTCTTAAGAGGCACTGAGACCGTGACGAAACAACTAGATTTTGAAAAATGTTGGGATTTGGTTAGCGGAGAAAGAACTGTAGGCCAGGAAGAGCAAGCCCTTCAGTCAGACTAGAGCCTTAGGAAAAGCTGAGTGTCATAGGACAGAAGACGTGGAACAGAGACTCTCTGCTGAGACGGGACTGACTCTCTAGGCAGCTGGAAGCTATTGATGTCTTTGGTTGAAGTGAGATGTCATCTAATCTACATTCTGGAGACAGGTGATCCAGTAGGATTTAGAGATTAATTCTATGGGGTGTAGCAACCCAGGAAGTATCAAAAGAGCCTGAGAGTTCTCGCTCTGTCACTGTCATAAAAAGTAGGTGCAAGAAACAGTTTTAGAGCAAAGGAAGGAGATAATACTGAGTTTAGTGTTTGTATTGAGATTGATGTGCCCCCATGATATCGATATAGGATGTTGGAAATACTTGTCTGAAGTTCAAGCCGGGAAATGGAGATTTGAAAATAATTACTAATACTATTGATCAATGAAGAATGATCTTGAGAAAGTATCATAAGAGAAAAAGCTCAGGGGCCAGGTGTGGTGGCTCATGCCTGTAATCCCAACACTTTGGGAGGTCAAGAGATCGAGACCATCCTGGCCAACATGGTGAAACCCTGTCTCTACTAAAAATACAAAAATTAGCTGGGCGTGGTTGCATGCGCCTGTACCCAGCTACTTGGGAGGCTGAGGCAGGAGAATTGCTTGAACCTGGGAGGTGGAGGTTGCAGTGAGCCGAGATCGCGCCATTGCACTCCAGCCTGGGTAACAAGAGCGAAACTCCGTCTCAAAAAAAAAAAGAAAAAAAAAAAAAGAATAAAAACGGGGATAGAACTTCAGGGGACACGTTAAGTTTAGCCTAATGATAAAAGGAGTTAGGTGTTGAGAATATGGAAGGAGAGATTTTCAGAGTGGGGAGGAGATGTGTGATGTGTTTCAGGGAGGGGTTAAAGAGAAATAGGTTAGGAGGAAAATAGCCCATATTAAGCCACCTGTGACCTTGGATGTTTGGGTAGATAAATCCAAAATGCAAAGGACTGTGTAAAGTAGATAGGGACATGTAGAAGCAGAGGCACCATGTATAGACCTTTTTAAAAAGTTTTGGTAGAGAGGAAGAAGAGTAGGAAATCTGTTCTTTAACGGAAGCAGAGAAAGACCTGAGTGGAAGGAGGGAGGAAGAAGATGCAGTAAAGAGAAGGTAATTGATAGGGGCATTCTCAGAGGGATCATACAATAGAATGAAGTCCTGAGATGTTTAGTGCTTGCCTTAAAAGAGGAGAAAAAACATTTTCAATCAAGATAGAAAAGGACATGCCGGGCGACTATAAACAGATGGAGAGAGAGAAGAGAGTGCTTGGGAGCTCATATGAGATGTGCTTATATATATTTTTTGAGACGGAGTCTCACTCTGTTGCCAGGCTGGAGTGCAATGGCACGGTCTTGGCTCACGGCAACCTCCGCCTCCCGGGTTCAAGTGATTCTCCTGCCTCAGCCTCCTGAGTAGCTGGGACTACAGGCACCCCCCTACCACGCCCAGCAAATTTTTTGTACCTTTGTAGAGACAGGCTTTCACCGTTTTGGCCAGGATGGTCTCAAACTCCTGACCTCATGATCTGCCTGTCTTGGCCTCCCAAAGTGCTGGGACTACAGGCTTGAGCCATCAAGCCTGGCCTAGATGTGCTTATCTTTTCAGTCAAGTAGGGGATGTGGTCACTTGATAAGAATGAAGGTGGCCTGAATAGGTTTGGAGGCTTGAAAAGACCTAGAGTAAAAATTGATTCCTAAATAGTGAGATAGTCACACTGACACTTTTACAACCATTCAGCCTGCTTTAGGGACAGAGACAGAGGTGTTAATATGACTTACCCAAAAAGACAAGGGTGCCTGGGAACCTAGTGTGTTCCCCGGCTGATATAGAGTATTACAATATTGAATTCAGAAAAGAGAGGGCAGGGGAAGTCCTGGAACCCTTAGTGTGTGTAAGAGGGACTGAAGGTCTCTAGAGCAGCTGTTTTCCTCATGGGCTTTGCATTACAAATACCCTGGAGCTTCTTAAAAGCTCCACAGATGAGTCTACAAAGACTGGACTGAATGAGTAGTAGCAGAAAGTGATAAGTGGGATAGTGGGAGGTGATCTCACAGGAAACTGTTTGGGACTTCAGAGTATTGTGAAATGGAACCCTTTCATACTGCGGCTCTTTTCTGAGTGACTTAATTATAAGGCTGTAGGTTAGCTGCATTGCTAATATTTGTCACTGTGAGGCTAGGTAAGGCCTTGATATCTAAGAGCTGATAGCAGGAGGTGAGTTTGAGGGAGGTGAGAAAACTGAACCAGGTGCAAGAGGCTAACAGGAGAAAGTTTCTTCTATGATAAATCTTTGGTATATTAATGTTCATATCTTCCTAGGTACATCTTAGGTACATGCTCTCCAATGAAATGGTTAGTTGTATATAATTCCTTGTAAAAGACACAAAATAGTTAATGCTATGGATTTCGCATGGAATTCCAATTAGAGAGTGGTAGAAGCTCTGCTTTGTCACTCGTACTTAGTTGCAGTAATTGTATACTTACTGAGGCTTCTTGGTGTAGGTACTGTCACTTCTAAACTTCCCTGGCTACCTCCAACCCACCCCCCCCATGTCTTTTATTTTGTTCCAGTATAGGGAGATGCAGAACTAGATACTAGATGGGAGCTGTCATTTCAGTATACAATAATCATGATGGGAAATGTTCTGAAATTTCTGTTGGAGCCTTATTTCTCATTTTTATGTCTTATTTAATTGTAGTAAAAATGATTTCACCTTAACTGTGCACACCATGGATTTGATTAGTAGTGTTTTAGTGGGAATTTAATTTCTGATTTATGTAACTGCATATTAAATTACTTTATTCCAAACAGGAAATGATGGATGTCAAGCAATTCATTGATAAAATCCTACCTCCAATTGATTGACGTCACTAAGAGGCCTTGTGTAGAAGTACACCAGCATCATTGTAGTAGAGAATAAACCTTTTCCCATGCCCAGTCTTCAAATTTCTAATGTTTGCAGTGTTAAAATGTTTTGCAAATACACTCTAGTGACACAGATCAAATAATGTCTCCTCATGAGAAATGTATGATCTTTTAAGTTTCTATACATGTATTCTTATAAGAAGATTCAGGATATACCATATTAAAGTAGATGAAGCAGGTAGCTTCTTTTTTCTCAAATACAAGTCAGCAAAATAATATAGTACAGCCACCAGATTTTTTATTACGTCATTTGAAAATTAGCAGTATGCCTAATGAAAATTTGTTCAGGTAGAAATGAGCAGTTAAGATATAAACTGTTAGGCATGCTGTGACTTAGTCTATGGATTTATTCCAAAATTGCTTAGTCACCATGCAGTGTCTGTATTTTATATATGTCTTCATATGTACATCATGATTGTAATACATGATAAGAATGAGGTGGTATTATATTATTCCTAATAATAGGGATAATGCTGTTCATTGTCAAGAAAGAGTAAATTGTTCTCTTCAATAAATGGCCCTTTTATTTTGGGACCAGGTTTTTCTTTTCCCTGATAATATTTCTATTTAATATTCTTTACTCTTCAGAAAAAAAAAAAAAAAAGTTCATTCTTTGTTTATTATCCTTCATAGCAGACCAAATATAGCCTCTCTGCCATAGACAGCTATTGTCAATACATACTGTAATTCGACATTTTGAGTCACAGATATAAGGTATTTAAAATCTATTTATGCTTTATAGAGAAACCAGGCATTAAAACTTCATGCACTACTTATTTCAAATTATTATACCTTATCCAAATTTATACCTATTTAGTTATTAGGATCTTCAGCCCAGGTAACAGGAATAATTCTGTGGATTTATTTTTCTGTAAACAACTATAAGAATTAGATCATATTCTAGTATGTTCTGAAATTTTTTTTGAGATGGAATCTTGCTCTGTAACCCAGGCTGGAGTGCAGTGGCATGATCTCGGCTCACTGCACCTTCTGCCTCCCCCATCTTGGTTCAAGCAATTCTCCTGCCTCAGCCTCCCAACCAGCTGAGATTACAGGCAGGCACCACCTAATGCCCAGCTAATTTTTGTATTTTTAGTAGAGATGGGGTTTCACCATGTTGGCCAGGCTGGTCTTGAACTCCTGACCTTGTGATCTCCGCAAGAATCTTGGCCTCCCAACTTGCTGGGATTTCAGATGTGAGCCACCGTGCCTGGCCATGTTCTGAAATATGTTTAAGACTGATCTTGAAAACTAATTTCTAAGATGATTTCATCTCATAGCAGAGAGTTTACTTTGTACACATGTTTGAAACCAACTGCTATAGAAGATGAGGAGTCTGTTGTAATTTTTTGCTTTATTTTCATCTGCCAGTGGGCTTATTTGAAATTTTCACTTCAATCAAATTATTTTTTGTGTTTTTTGTCCAAACATAAAAATAGCAATCATTTTAAATTGTCAAAATTTCCAGATTACTGGTAAAAAGTATTTGAAAACAAACTTAATGAGTAATAAAGGCTAGTCAGAGCCATATACATAAAGTGTAGTCACCAGATTAATATGTAGCAAAAATGTATGCTTGATACTTCTGAACTCTTAATTTTTCTGCTGTATCCCAGCTGATTAAAACAATATTAAGAATGCATCTTTATAAATGGGTGCTAATCAATAATGGAAATAATTTAGTAATGGACTATAGGATGTTAATAATGAAGCCATATGTTTATGTCTAGATTTAAACATTTTAAACAATCATTTACTGTGTCATTTTTCTTTACCTTGAAGAACATAAACGGTTGTTTCAGTTCTAAATATCAGCAAGATATTATTTGTGGCAAGAAATATTCCGTTGAATTGTTGTGCTGTAACATGGGAAAATGTAAATGTTTTTCATGGTTTCTATCAATGTGAAATAAAATTTAATTCTGACTTTTCTCTGACTTTTTTGAGTATTTTAATATTTGGAATGTTAACATTTGGAATATATGTATCTGATGAAAAGGAGGAAAATAACAATGTACTTAATATATATATATATATTCAGAGAGAAATTTTGATGATGGTATGGTTGGCTTAGAATGGAACTAGGCAGCCGGGCGCGGTGGCTCACGCCTGTGATCCCAGCACTTTGGGAGGCCGAGGCGGGTGGATCACGAGGTCGAGAGATCGAGACCATCCTGGTCAACATGGTGAAACCCCGTCTCTACTAAAAATACAAAAAATTAGCTGGGCATGGTGGCGTGTGCCTGTAATCCCAGCTACTCAGGAGGCTGAGGCAGGAGAATTGGCTGAACCCAGGAGGCGGAGGTTGCGGTGAGCCGAGATTGCACCATTGCACTCCAGCCTGGGTAACAAGTGCGAAAACTCCGTCTCAAAAAAAAAAAAAAAAGAATGGAACTAGGCATAAGAAATAATCTCATGTTACTCAGTTTTAATGAGCTAAAAAAAAAAAAATTCCCAAATTTGGTTTTCAGTGTTTCTACCTATTTAAGAAGTTTTATTTGGTGTTTATCTTTTATAGCCTTTTTTTTTTTTTTTTTTCGAGACAGAGTCCTGCCCTGTTTCCCTGGCTGGAGTACAGTGGCGCAATCTCAGCTCACTGCAACTTCTGCCTCCTGGATTCAAGTGATTCTCCTGCCTCAGCCTCCTGAGTAGCTGGGATTACAGGAGCCCACCACCATACCTGGTTACTTTTTCTTTTTTAGATGAAGTTTTGCTCTTGTTGCCCAGGCTGGTGTGCAATGGTGCAATCTTGGCTCACCGCAACCTCCACCTCCCAGGTTCAAGCGAGTCTCCTCCCTGAGCCTCCTGAGAAGCTGGAATTATAGGCATGCGCCACCATGCCTGTCTAATTTTGTATTTTTAGTAGAGATGGGGTTTCTCCATGTTGATCAGGCTGGTCTCGGAACTCCCAACCTCAGGTGATCTGCCCACCTCAGCCTCCCCAAGTGCTGGGATTACAGCCATGAGCCACCGCGCCTGGCCTAATTTTTCTACTTTTAGTAGATACGGGGTTTCGCCATGTTGGCCGGGCTGACCTCAGGTGATCCACCCCTGTTAGCCTCCCAAAGTGCTGGGATTATAGGCGTGAGCCACTGCACCTGCTCTTTTTCTTTAACGTAGGAGTCACTGGGATTTTTTAATTAGTGTTGATAATCAGTTATCCAATTAGTTTTTCTCCTTATTTCAACATTGACTTCTGACTTTTCCAAATATAGAAATCCCTCTGATCTGTTAAGCAGTCCTTACTTTCTGGTTTTGGATACTTAGTGACCACCTCCCTTTTCTGTGAGGCAGCTTGTTCTATTTTTGGATAGTCCTCCTGGCAAGAAAAGTCTTTACTAAATATGTTATGTCTAACTTCAACTTGTTTTATAAAAGGTTAATCTTTCACATCAGCACTTTATTTCATATGATAATCTTTAGCGCATGATTCTTTTAAAAGTAAGTTTGTTCACTATTAAATATGGTCAGAGTTTGGTACTGTTATGATCTAATTACCAATGGGAAACAATAGTTGTATGTATATGTGAATAGTTGGGAAATTTGCCTACTATTGTAGCCACTCTTATTTAATATATGTTGGGCACTGTACTAAGCATTTTATATCCTTTAAGCATATAATCCTCTGATCAACTTTATCTTGATTTTACAGAACAAACTCTAGAGAGAGAAACTACTTAGGATTCCAGAGCTATTAATGTGCAAGAGCCAGGATTCAAATTCATGTGCCTAACTCCATGGTGTTTACGACCTTGCTCTGTGCCCCACTGGGGTAATTTAAATGCCATGCACCACAAAAATGATGTGTATTTTATATAATGCAGGACGTGGAAACGCTGAGTCGACCTATGATAAAAATAAGTTCACCAGCCTGGCGCAGTGGCTCATGCCTGTAATCCCAGCACTTTGAGAGGCCAAGGTGGGCAGATCATGAGGTCAGGAGTTCAAGACCAGCCTGACCAACATGGTGAAACCCCGTCTCTACCAAAAACACAAAAAATGAGCCGGGTGTGGTGGCACATGCCTATAATACTAGCTACTCGGGAAGCTGAGGCAGGAGAAACACCTGAACCTGGGAGGCAAAGGTTGCAGTGGCAACTGTGCAACCTCTGCCTTCTGGGCAACAGAGTGAGACTCTGTCTCAAAAAAAAAAAAAAGTAAAATCAGCTCACCATAAGGTACAATCTCCAGTGGCCAGAGAGAACTAAAAGGAAACTAAAAACCCACATGGCACAGTTAACTTTGGGGCTTAACATTAGATAAGGTGTGTAAATAATTCACCCTTATTTATTTTATCTTAAAATACTTTTGTAGAGATGGGGCCTTGCTATGTTGCCCAGGCTGGTCTCAAACTCCTGGGCACTAGCAATCTTTCCACTTCAGCTTCCCAAAGTGCTGGAATTGCAGAAGTGAGCCAACATGCCCAGCCAAGCCAGGATCCTTTTAAGGGCTATGCATGTAGGTGAACTGGAAAAAAAAAAAACAACAACAACAACAAACCTGCGCCCCCACCCCCAGCATAGGGAAGTGAAGGGAAAATTGTCTGTTTTGGTCTGGGCTCTGGACTGGGAGAAACGGAACGGAATCATCCCTTGAAATTTTTTGACCAGGAGTTTGTGTTCATGTGTGTTTTGATTTTCAAAGTATATTACCATTTATGTGGTCTGTCAACACATGAAGTTATATATTAACATCAGGAATCTCCCTGGACTGGCTTTACTCTTAGGTACCTGTACCTAATACTTTATGAAGAGTGACATTCTCAAAATTTAAATTCTGAGGTTGCATTTTTTTTTTTTTTTTTTTTTTTTTTTTTTTTTTTGAGATGGAGTCTCGCTCTGTCACCCAGGCTGGAGTGCAGTGGTGCGATCTCAGCTCACTGCAGCCTCCGCCTCCCAGGTTCAAGCAGATCTGCCTCAGCCTCCTGAGTAGCTGGGACTACAGGTGAATGCCGCTATGCCCAGCTAATTTTTTTTTTTTTGGTAGAGACGGAGGTTTCACAGTGTTGCCCAGGCTGGTCCCAAACCCCTGAGCTCAGGCAATGTGCCCTCCTCGGCCTCCCAAAGAGCTGGGATTACAGGTATGAGCCACCGCCCCTGGCCAAGGTTACATAAAATTAGCCTTGTCAAAAATGAGCTTTGAGCCCCCACATTTCAAATCGTAAGAGAAAATGGTTTACCTACAACTGAATACCAGGTGACCCAAAAGTTAAAAGGAAGGCTGGGCATGGTGGCTCACACCTGTAATACCAGCACTTTGGAAGGCCGAGGTGAGTGGATCACTTGAGGCCAAGAGTTTGAGACCAGCCTGGTCAACATGCTGAAACCTCATCTCTACTAAAAATGCAAAAGTTAGTTGGGCGTGGTGACATACACCTATAATCCCAGCTACTCAGGAGGCTGAGATAGGACAATTGCTTGAACCCGGGAGGCAAAAGTTACAGTGAGTCGAGATCACACCATTACACTCCAGCCTGGGCAACAAGAGCGAAACTCTGTCTCAAAGAAAAGAAAAAGGAAAGAAAGAAAGCCTTCAAATTAAAAAAAGTACCTGGGAGTGATGGTGCTTGCTTGTAATCCCAGCT